CTAGTGCCTAGTTGTATCTTGCTAGCTATACTCAAGCCGTACGCTGCGAGGAATATTGTACCGTTTTATGCCCACTCTGGCCTGCTGACCAGAGCGGAATAAAAGCCCCGGACCTATTCCCGGCGTAAACACTGTCATTTTTGAGTTGTGTTGTTTGTTCTTGTGCGACGTGTACAATCCAGTGGTCGAACAGTGGGAGAGTCCCACGTAACGGGGAAAAACGTTACATATATATATATCAATATATATATATACATATCAAGAGTAAATCATTACAAATTACGTGATAGTATTATCACGATTTGTGATTATTTACTCTTGATATACACACGTATATATATTACGTATATTCGCCCCGCATGATTCCCTCACCTGCATCGTTTACCTACCTTTGCCGCTCCTGATGATGAAGGGTACGCCATCCCACCGCTCGTTCTTGATGTAAGCAACGATGCAGGCATACGTCGGTGTCACCGAGCCTACAAGCAACCACAACCACCGCAGACATCAGTAGCTGCAGTCAGCATGCTCTAACAACCTGCTAATGTTCCCACCCGATGGCGCCACGTGCCTCACCCAGCCACGTGTAAGCTGCATCGGCGAGAAGTATTTCACCGCGCCTTGTCTATTTTCTACGCGATGGCTGCAACGTTAACGCATCGTCAGTGAGTACATGACGACTGAGGGAGAGCGGTAAGGATGTTTAGTCGATGGCTGCCTAGCGTGAGAGACGGTCGGAGTGATCACACGATGGCTAGCTACCTTTCGGCACGGTCGGATCATCCAGGTAACCATTCTTCACATCACCCTCACCGTCCGGATTCCCGACGTACTGACCCAGTACAGCGTTCTCCACCTTCAACTCTGACATGCATTTCAACACTTTCACCTGCAATGGAGTAGCAGCGTAACGATGTGCCATTGCGCAGTGTTGTCATGCCGTGGCATTGTGCAGTGTTGTCATGCCATGGCATTGTGCAGTGTTGTCATGCCATGGCATTGTGCAGTGTTGTCATGCCGTTGGAGAGAACATTTCCTGCAGGATTTCACGAGATATCGCTGGCGGGAGTAGGTAAGAACAAAGGCCAGAGTTATAATTCGAACAAGTGAACATTTATGTACACATAGATACCAAGATGGAAGCTGTAGTATGTGTATTCGAGCTGTGATGGTGTGAAATGAAGCGAGCGTCAAACGAATTTTTTAATCCCGCTTTCCTACCTGCTCTCTTAACTTATTCATGTTGTTTGTGCATGCAGCACAGCACGGGCTAGCTCCAAGAAACGGTATTGCTAAGGTTAGAATACCGTCCAAATGTAGTATAGACAATCCGTAGTATAGACAATCCGTCGCACAGCCTGGTCAGGCTAAGCACGGGCGGGCGTTCGGTGTACTTGTGTGTTGCAGATGAGCATTTGACCGGCATTTACAGGTGAAATAGAGTAGAGAAACATTAAGACTTTGGTACATTTCGTGTTTATTTACCTTTTTTTTATTGAGACGTTCCAAGTCAAGTGCCTGTGGACCGTAACCTACGTTCCGGCAGTACCTAACCTGGGGGACATAGACCCTATGAGCCCAAGTGACCCTGCACAGATGAAATAAATATATGTTTATTTTAACGACTGCATAGAGAATTGAATGTAATGAAATTACCATACATACCTCGCAGCATTTAACGACAACTTCGCTGCAAAATCAACTAAAAGGAATACGGCGTAATCAAACACACAGCAACACACGAGGTTCCATATAGACCGATATATCCACATCCTTATGCAGTTATTGTCTACATAGTCGTTTTATGATAACAGCTTTATAATAATAATTCCATGCGAAACGTTTAATAATAGCGTGTTCAGCCAAAATCTATAGCGACGACTAATGATGAACGCGTCCAATCTAGTTTCCACATTTTGAAATTCCTAATTTTCAAAATCCAAAAACAAGTATGGCGTTAATCGAGATGCATGATGGGACTCTTACCCAAAAAAATTATTTGATCAAAATCTAAGTTAAACTTTGAACTACTAAATTGTAATTTAATATTCGTTTAAACAGATATAAATGTGTTTTATAGTATTCACTTCGACTAGAACAATAGCGAACAATAGCAAAGGCAATACAAACTGCATGCAGCGCCCCTTCGGGATACTTGAATGCGTGAGCTAGACTGGTACCTGGTTCTACCTCTCGGCTTAGGGTGATATTGGCGAGTAATTGAGGTGGGAGCTAGCACCAGTCTATGCAGAAACAAGACCGAAAGCGCCATCTGTCGTGGAGTTTGAGCATTGTATAAGAAGTTAGTGCTGCTACGTAGTGAGAAAATCTAGAACTATGAGTAGAAGTGACTGTTGCTGTTGTTGAAGCATGTTGTTTGTGATCAGTGCATTCGCCATGTTCATATGATATTGTCCGTTGACCACGTCACTGAGTTGTAAGCCTGTAAGTAATAGCTGTGTTGACCCGATTTATAAATAATCTAACTACAATATTTGTTTTGATATAGAACGGGAATGAGCAAAAAACCTGGTGACTGTGAGAGTTCTCAGAAATTAGGAGCGGACGCTATTTCACTTTCAGTACTGAAACTGAAAGCTGACGGTTCTAGCTGAGACTTAGCTCCAAGAAACGGTATTGCTAGGGTTAGAATGTGTATTGACGTGAGTCACACAGCCTGGTCGGATTAGCTGAGACTGTGCTCCACCTTGTTAGACTACTGCTACAAAAGGGTCCGCTAGTACCAGTGACTCATTTCGTAACTCACCTAGGTGATCACAGGTGCCCTGCAGTCGTCAACAAAGTCATCGGACCCGGTATCGTGAGATTTCGTCTCTTCCTCTGCCAGCATCCGTCAATTTTCCAGGTCTCCGCAGAAGATGTTGCCTTCCTGACTGCGCGACAGGACCCTTCGTCGTACGACGGCACGCGGTTTCATGTGACGCCAGATTCCGAGAGCGACGCTGTCACATACTTCAGCAGCAAACTGCTACAGTGGTGAGTAGCGAGAGTTTTCATTCACCGCCTAGCCTCTACTAAAGCGCAAGCACCAGAGGCTGTCATCGCCGTCGTTGGACGCAAGGACAAACAGTTTGTGAGATTCCTGGAGCGTCACAACGAGGTATTTAAAGTGAAGGGACGGTTTGTTTCATTAGTGGTACGTGCGGATCGAGTGGAGAGACATCGTGACGGCAGTAGTGACGCTTCAGTCCAGCAGCTAATACAGGTGGAAGAAGACTGGGACTTGATAACCACTGGCAACGTTACCCATGCAGACTGAAAGCAATTCTGATGAAAACCCAGTGATGGTTGAAGTGTAGAACTTTGGCTACGCCTCTGAAGTAGACAATCATCATTATATAACCCCCGATACTGTGTCAAGTAATTGCACGAAAACCAAAAATGTCCTCAGCAAGTACTGGATCAGGAGTTGAGGATGATGCAGTCACCTTCTATACACAAGCCTTCACTGACTGGGGAGTTGAAGAGGTAACGTTCACTAAACTAATGGGTAAAAGGTCTCAGGCATCTGCAGACGTGAGAAAAGTTGTTGGAAAGTCAGTGAAACAATTTGCAAGCTTTCTAATGAGACATACAGATGCCTTCGAAATCAGAGGCGATCACGTTAGAAGGCTGATCGATGTAGCTAGTGATACTGACTCAGTATCCAAGTCAGAATCACGTTCGGAAGCACCAGCAGAGAGCGAAAATAACGCTGCCTTATTCGTCCGCGACATCTTCCTCAAGTTTGGCCGTAATGAGGTTGAGGTGAAGACATTATACTTAGAGAAGTCAAAGGCGTCTCTGGCAACGTATAGAGTGTTGGGAGCGAATGTGCAGGAATTTTCATCCTTTCTCAAAAGACATGCAAACCTGTTCTGTGTGAAAGGTGAGATAGTCACACTTGCTCAAAAGACAGTGAAGTCAGGTTCTGTCGACGGTGACACCTTATCAGGTAGCATTGAGTGCATCGACTACTTCCGGAAAACGTGTCTGATGCGTAGCGAGTCGTGCATAGACCTGCGCCGACTGGCCGGGAGAAGGGCACAAGCTTCGCCGGAGCTGAGAGCCTATCTTACTGACATTCCTACCACCTGCCAGTTTTGTGTGTGTGTATATATATATATACAAGACACTTACCTGGTTCGGTGACGACGTAGGAGACTCCGCACGATCCGTCCTTGCGATCTTCAAAGTCGATCTCGGCCTTGCCTGGACCCTCGACGGCGATGGAGAGACCTCCAGCTCCCGCCTCACGCGTGTAGATACTGAACTCACCTGTAAACACGCGAGCGAGAGAGAGAGTCAGAGCTGTGATCCTATATAAACATGCACCCCCCACCCCCGGTCGATCGACGCAGAATTCGCAGGACGAATACTCGAGATCTATACGCATTGTTGCCGAGATAATATGTAATATAATAGATGATTGGGAATAGAAATGCGATGTAAAATGCTCTGGTTCATCTTTCTAACTATTCAATCCAACACTGACGTGAACAATTTATTACAACCAGGAAGAGATAGAAATATCATTGGTGTATAATGACTTCTCAAGGACTGATTCCACCATCGTGCATGTGACCGTGAAACCGAGTAGGACGCGCCATGAGTAGATCACTTACATGGTTCCTTCACCTCTCCTCTCTCCAGACCGGGACCTCCAGCTCTAACCTTGTGTGCGCCACCATCCTGCAGCGGCCCTACAGTGAACTGGAACGGACTGCCTGCAAGTCACAGATAGAAAACCGTGTTTAGCACTGGTGTAAAAGTGCAGCTTTCAACTACTTGGCTTGTTTAACAACGCTCAGACTATATGAGTCTAATAGCTTGTAGGTTTATATATATATATTGTGCCCACTTATAATAAGAAAAACAGAATATATAACGACCTGTATTGATGAAGAATGAACAAAATGCATCACTCACCCTCAACATAAACGTACGATCAAGCCTGCCTCTCTGTGCTAATCCAGAATTCAGAGCGTACACAAGCTCCTGCTGCAGACAGGTAATGAAGGTCTACTCACTAGAGAGATGACGTTACATGGAGTGACACTCAATTTATTTTACACGGACACACATACCCAAATGACACAGGCAAAAACTTGAACATTCCAACTAATACAGTACGGCAAATGGCTTCAATTCTAAACCAAACCATGTCTGATTCTGTAGACTGTCTAAATAGTATATAAATGTGTACAGTTATAGTCTCTATATCAGACTCTATATAGACACTAATATACAGCTACAGAGAGCCATCGACGATGACGAACGAACGAACGAACGAACGAACGAACGAACACGCTCGAGGGAGCGCACACACACCGTCGGAGGGAGAGCCACCCACGAGCAGGACGACGCCCGAGAAGGTATATACCTAATACTAAGGGAGCTATATAGCCTACCCCGGACAGGGAGACACACTGCATGCCAACCCACGAACTCGCGCCGCGGAGCACACGACGGGGAGAGACAGACGAGGAGCGGCGCCGGGGGATACAATATATTAACCAGCTAATAGTTAAGCTAAACGTGTAATAACGTAACGAGGTAACGTAAACGTGACATGAGTAATATAATAATATCAGGAGTGTATAATATAAAGATATATATATATATATATCTATATTATACACTCCTGATAATATATATATATATCTATACGCTATATTATTTGAGATACGTGCAGTGAATGTTATTCGTATACGATGAATAAAACCATCCGCGTTGTATAAAGACTTGCGTTCATTTCACTCTGGGGTTTTTCTTGCTACTGCATTATCGTCCTGCTTTCACGGTAGGAGCGGAAAATAATCCCGACACAAATAAAGTAATGACACACGTGCTAACCACAGCGCGTGTGAAAGTCCAATGTGCACGTGGCCACTCCTAGGGCCACTATATACATGCACTAGTACTATAGCCCGCGTACAGTTGCCGCAGGACTCCGGCAACCGTATGCGGGCTATAGTAGTACAAGCATAGCTGTGTTGACCCGATTTATAAATAATCTAACTACAATATTTGTTTTGATATAGAACGGGAATGAGCAAAAACCCTGGCGACTGTGAGAGTTCTCAGAAATTATAAGCGAAAGTTATTTCAGTACTGAAACTGAAAGCTGACGGTTCTAGCTGAGACTGTGCTCCACCTTGTTAGACTACTGCTACAAAAGGGTCCGCTAGTACCAGTGACTCATTTCGTAACTCACCTAGGTGATCACAGCTATAGGTGCCCTGCAGTCGTCAACAAAGTCATCGGACCCGGAATCGTGAGATTTCCTTTCTTCCTCTGCCAGCATCCGCCCATTTTTCGGGTCTCCGCGGAAGATGTTGCCTTCCTGACTGCGCGACAGGACCCTTCGTCGTACGACGGCACGCGGTTTCATGTGACGCCAGATTCCGAGAGCGACGCTGTCACATACTTCAGCAGCAAACTGCTACAGTGGGGAGAAGCGAGAGTCTTCATTCACCGCCTAGCCTCTACTAAAGCGCAAGCACCAGAGGCTGTCATCGCCGTCGTTGGACGCAAGGACAAACAGTTTGTGAGATTCCTGGAGCGTCACCACGAGGTATTTAAAGTGAAGGGACGGTTTGTTTCATTGGTGGGACCCGCGGATCGAGTGGAGAGACATCGTGACGAGAGTAGTGACGCTTCAGTCCAGCAGCTAATGCAGGTGGAAGAAGACTGGGACTTGGTAACCACTGGCAACGTTACCCATGCAGACTGAAAGCAATTCTGATGAACACAGTGATGGTTGAAGTGTAGAACTTTGGCTACGCCTCTGAAGTAGAAATAATTATATAACCCCCGATACTGTGTCAAGTAATTGTACGAAAACCAAAAATGTCCTCAGCAAGTACTGGATCAGGAGTTGAGGATGATGCAGTCACCTTCTATACACAAGCCTTCACTGACTGGGGAGTTGAAGAGGTAACGATCACTAAACTAATGGGTAAAAGGTCTCAGGCATCTGCAGACGTGAGAAAAGCTGTTGGAAAGTCAGTGAAACAATTTGTAAGCTTTCTAATGAGACGTACAGATGGCTTCGAAATCAGAGGCGATCGCGTTAGAAGGCTGATCGATGTAGCTAGTGATACTGACTCAGTATCCAAGTCAGAATCACGTTCAGAAGCACCAGCAGAGAGCGAAAATAACGCTGCCTTATTCGTCCGCGACATCTTCCTCAAGTTTGGCCGTAATGAGGTCGAGGTGAAGACATTATACATAGAGAAGTCAAAGGCGTCTCTGGCAACGCATAGAGTGTTGGGAGCGAATTTGCAGGAATTTTCATCCTTTCTCAAACGACATGCAAACCTGTTCTGTGTAAAAGGTGAGATAGTCACACTTGCTCAAAAGACAGTGAAGTCAGGTTCTGTTGACGGTGACACCTTATCAGGTAGCATTGAGTGCATCGACTACTTCCGGAAAACGTGTCTGATGCGCAGCGAGTCGTGCATAGACCTGCGCCGACTGGCCGGGAGAAGGGCACAAGCTTCGCCGGAGCTGAGAGCCTATCTTACTGACATTCCTACCACCTGCCAGTTTATCAAGAAACATTGCAAGTTTTTCTCTGTCGATGAAGAAGACGAAGTGTCTTTAGTGTCTGGGACCAAGGCTGTAGTCGCGAGCGACTTGCGTATACAAGGCATCCCGCCATTGACTGCAGGAGCAGATGCACCTTCTGTTGTGTACTTGACTGAGTTGATCAAGAAGGAAGGTGGAAAAGCCACGCTGCATAAATTAGCTCAACTTGTCCGCAATTCCATTAGTTCTATTCAGACAATCGTCGGTCGTAACGCCGAATCAGTTCACAATTTCCTACTGCGATACAATAAAGTCTTCCTCGTAGATCCAAAATGGTGGGTTTCTCTGTGCTGCGCCAACGCTGGGGCGGCAACAGCGAGCCAGTTTACAGGCAATTCCTCTCGAGATATAGTTGGGGCTGCAGGAACCGTATCAATGTTGTTACCAACATGCGGCTTTCTCAGTTACAAAGGTCTCTCTAAGGTATATTTTAACCCTCAATCTACTGATAAAGGAAGCTCCGAGGATCTTCTTTCCGCGTACAAAATTGGCGATAGGTTGTATTTTGACGCGATTCCTGGCGGCCCGAAAGCTACGTGTGAGTGGCGGGCGGTCAGAGTGTCGAGAGAGCCGTTGGAGCCCGCAGCGCTGACCGCCAAGTGTAACAACAACATATCAGGTGACACCTCCATCGACGCAATTCTGTTGTCACTCGTCAGGAAAAGGTTGTACATGGACGGCTCCGTGACGCTGTGCAAATTAGAGGAGCTAGCGGGAAGCGATGCCGTCCGCTGCAGCGGCATCGCCCGCAAGTCGATTTCAGTGACGGACTTTGTGAGGTCGCACTCGGATGAATTCCTCCTGGATGGCGATCTAGTGATGCCTGTTAAGGAACCGCAGCGATTTAACGTCGTGGTGAAGCCGGCAGCAGCACAGTCGTCCAAGGTTACATCAAAGGCGTGCAAGCCAAGAGACGCCAACCTCCTCTTGTCCGTGACGCAGCCTAGCTTGACCGCACAGAAGGGGAAGGTAATTAATCTCTTACCACAGCTAGGCTTCGTCTCATTTAAAAAGGGCATCGCCTTCTTTCACAAACGCCAGTTTATCGGAATGCCGGCGGATGCAGATCTCACCGTAGAGCTGAAGATAGACGAGGTGCTCCACTTCGACTGTACGGAGGGAAAGCCGGATGCCAAAGCCGAGTGGGCGGCCACCAGCATATGGCGTCCTGGTAGTCGGGAGCGAGATGCTAGTGTTGTCATGCCGTGAAATTGTGAAGTGTTGTCATGCCATGGCATTGTGCAGTGTTGTCATGCCATGGCATTGACAGCCATTTCTCCAGTATGTCCAACAAACATGTGCTGCCACCTACCTTCTCATCGCGGATATCCTCAGCACTCGTAGATGCAGGCTTCTCCATGGCAACCAGCGTCAACATCTGTAGGACATGATTCTGCATCACATCTCTGGTTTTAAAAAAATTCAAGAGTCAGTAACAACAGAGCATTCGCAAAACACTGTCACACACTAATTAAACAGACTTGAAGCATAAAGCTACCCATCACTAACAATAATAAGCTATCCTAATACTAATATTTCCAGCAATCTTTTCAGGAAACCTATTCCGAACCACCAATCACGTAACACATACACAGAGAGAAATCAACATCTGAATGGACTAACAGATAGCGCCACTGGCCGATGGGTAAGAGCATACCTGATGATTCCGAATTCGTCAAAGTATCCTCCGCGACCTTGGGTCCCGAACGGCTCTTTGAAGGACAGCGTCACGGCGGCGATACTCTCCCTGTTCCAGATTGGACCCCAAACCTTGTTTCCAAACCTGCAGAGAAACGCTAACAGAGGTCAGAACTCGGTAAAAAACGGATCCACACTTCATGCCGTTCTGTTCCTGTCTGCCATAACGTCTCGCTGGCTCAGGCAACGTAGTACAGTAGCAAGCCCAGGAGAATCACAGGCTTAACAGCATTCATAATTGCACATCGAACACAACGTGAGCGTAGAACGCACGTTTCCTACGCCATCTACTAGCTCACCCACCTCAGTATCATGAGGTTTTGCACCATCTCCTTGCCGAGGTAGTGATCGATCCGGTATAGCTGGTCCTCCGTGAACAGACGGGCCAGGTGAGTAGACAGCTGGACGGACGAATCAGAATCCTTGCCGAATGGTTTCTCAACGATGACCCTCGTCCAACCTCTGTGCGGCAGTTAGAAACACAGTTAGCTTAACACTAAACAGAACCAAGCCGGGCGGTCAAGATTCAAACTTCAAGATGAAAGAAATTTTCATCTCAGCGGCAGTCACTGACCCTCTACGTAAGTAACCATGCATAGATCAACCTTTCATGTACACATGCTATTCCTACGAGATACTCACGTAAACAAACACACACACACACACGCGTGCGCACACACACACACACGCGCGCGCGCGCACACACATGTGCTCATGCCCACATACTCCATAAAGCTTATATGTAACTGTGATCATCTACACGTGTCATCAACAATGTTATCAGCAAACCTCCGAACACCGACAATCGCACTGGACATCCTCACTGCACATCCTCACTGCGCATGACCTCTCTGACTAGTAACTACGTAGTAAAACGTAAATGTCAACTACTGTAAAGTCACTTAATTTCGTGGATCCCAATTTTCGTGGTTTTAGATAAAAAACACATGTTCGTGGATTTTTAAATTCGTGGATTGAAATCGTAGAACCGGCACTTGACATCTGTACATTATATTTCGTTGGGAACGTAATTTCGTGGAGTGATAGACCCACGAAATCCACGAAAATTGGTACCCCACGAAAAAAAAGAATTTACAATATGTAAATTGCCAACATTCTCCCTATCTCAACCCTCCCTTCGTTCGATCGTACTACGACCGATAATTCACATGCCTACACAGACAGATGAACGAATGCTTCACGATTAGAAACTCATCGCGAGGATCAGTGCACGACTATTGCCGACCGAGATTTGATCGTGCTGGGACATAAATCCCACGGTAACATTCCTGGGTCCATGTCCCAACATCCAAAACCTGACAAACTGATCGGCGAGTCGTTGTTTCTATTTCACTGATTCGGACAGCATGTAAAGTTGTAAATCTGCTTGTGACGCAGAGAATAAATAGAAGAATGAGTTTACATTAATACGAAATGTAAACTGGTTCATATCAGAGACCCATCTATGGTAAACTTGTACATCCTGTGTCCCAGACAGACAGTCAACACAAGCACACCACAACACATGCACTTCTTTATCGTTGCTTCAATATGGAAGGCTCAAAAGCAGAATAATTTATACGGACTCTACCAGCGAGTGATACAACAAGGAGCGTACATAAGTAAGATATGTTCCTGACACAATTGGTGATTTTTTTCATCATCCTTGCCTACCAATACATGCAACAGCCATGACACAGACACGACACAGACACCACACACGGGCACTTTAGAAAGAACACGTAGGATAAAGGCATGCTAAACTGCTGATCCCACCAACCCAAACACCAAGGAGATCATAAGTAGCATTCTTTAACCTTGAAACTAGCGTGTACCTTGCTCACGGACTAGAGGCTACACTATGTTTGCGTCATCTCACATGCAGGACATCAACCGACCCCGTATTTACTTACTCGTCTTCACTAATGCTTCAACCATCATCATAAATTCGCCGTGAAATAAACAAGCAAACAAACACTCGGTAAAATATCGCGGATGCAAAACGGCGAAAAGAATTCTGCCGGTAGATACCTCGAGATAAAAAACCCTGTTGAGTCAATGTGATTCTGGAAATGTTCCGGATCAAAATCGGAGAGGGTGAGTGAGTAGTAACATATAGGACACCACAGAAGGTACATGTAAAGTGAGCATTGCTAACCCACAGTTAGAAGCTACAGCCACGAGATGTGTTAGTTTTACATTCACTGGTCAGGCACCACTGCAACAGACATCAGCCACACGTACGAGAGTTTATCGAAACGAATTTCTCTGGTCTGCGCTAAACAGAATACGTACCTTTTGCCCATACAGGCCGCCTTGAGGTTAGTTGTCACCGGCTGGAACACACTCGGTGGCAGTGCCAAGTAGAACAGCCTATTGCAAGGCTTTCCTCCTTCAATCTTTTCGATTTCGCTGTTTAACCGCTGGAAGTCTTCTAGCTGAAGAAAGATTATCGAAGCTCTGACACTATATACTGTAGGTCTGCAAGTAGTTCTCATCTGAGATTTCTGTACTACTGCTGTGTGAGATGAAGAGATCAGTGAAATAAGTAGAAGAGAATCAGTAAAAAGAAGAGAGTGGGAGAGAGAGAGAGACAGAGGGAGAGAGATGGCGGAGAGAGAGATATAGAGATGGGCAGAGCAACAGAGAGAGAGAGAGAGGCAGGGAGAGAGCGATATAGAGAGAGGGAGGGGGAGATTCTCAACAATACCTTGTCATAAGAGCCAGCAACATAAGTGTTGAGTTTCCAGAAAGCTTCCAGCTTTTCCTTTTGATCATCCCTCACCTGCATGTGTGAGAAATATATTCATCATCAAATACATGCAAAACAACATTAATCTCAGTATTATGATTATATTTATATAATAATTATGATATTATTATTAACCACTGGTTTAACAGTGGTTACACATTATATCAACACACACGCACACGCACACTCCTGTGCGCACGCCCCCGCACGCACGCACGCGGGTTAGTAACACTGCTGCTGTGTAGGATGTAGGGCTGACTCTCTGCGGTTTATACCTTCATGAAGGGATCGGCCTTCTTCCTGACATCAGCAACACTCAGCTTGGATCTCGCGTAGCCAGCAAAGCACGTCTTGGGAGGAAGTAGATTGTTCATGTAGAGCAGCCTGGGTACAGCAGAGAGAGAGAGAGACTGAGAGAGAGAGAGAGAGATGCCGCTGTCCCGCAGACATATATGTGACAAAAGCTATGTGATGCGGTAACGTATAAGTCAGCGTTCTGATGTATAACATCCGTCACTTACAACACACGACATGATTGTCAACCATGCTCTATATGTTCCTCATCACCAATGTCATGTGCAGTGCACAATTAACTTACCCCAACCAAAACATTTGCTCCAACACCACCCCCCTAGCTAAGTAAGCTAGAGTAAAAGACCAAGTGGAATGTCTTCCTATATATAGAATGTGAACTGATACCAGTCTATATAGTTAACAAAGTACCGAATTGTACAGTTGATAGAAATGTTCGAGAAGGACTAAATGTATGAACTTAGTAACATGTTATTTTACACGTGTACCTACCAGAGGGTGGGATAAATTTTCTTTTTTGCCAAATCACCCTGAAACAAAAGAGTGGCATTACTTTTACATGATCATGACATGTGTCCCATTAGGATATATGTCCGATGACTAAACAGTACTTGGGAACAGCTGTGTACATAAAGCTGTATGAGTAATAATGCTGCGTAAGCACAACTTCACTCTTACTCTCTACAATTTACAAAGATAAATTTAAGCTGCGTGCCTGCGTCATTTGAGTAGATAGTACAATAGATTAAATATGAGTGGGCTATTTACAAACATAATCTTAAGGTGGGATATATATTTAGACAGGGTTTCTTATACATGAGCGGTACATTAGCGCACCGCCGTTGTCGAATTTAACATCGCCGTTATGAAAATGTTTCTGTAACAATTTTTGACATTAAAATTTTTAAAATTTTGCTGGGTGGGAGTGATCCCCAGAACCCCCCTCCCAGCGAGAGGGGGACTTCCACCTCTCCCTCTCTCCCCGCGTGTCCGCCTGTAGCATTCGCATGCGTACCTACGGCACGTCTTTAAATCCATCATGCGCATTTTTCCCCCAAACTGACCATTACCTCCGTTGTCTAATTTTCCCTCATAGGAAACCCTGTTAGATGCCGCCATAGATTAAATAGGCATAAGCAATTTACAAAGATAAATTTAAGCTGCGTCATTTGAGTAGATAGTACAATAGATTAAATATGAGTGGGCTATTTACAAACATAATCTTAAGGTGGGATATATATTTAGACAGGGTTTCTTATACATGAGCGGTACATTAGCGCACCGCCGTTGTCGAATTTAACATCGCCGTTATGAAAATGTTTCTGTAACAATTTTTGACATTCTAATTTTTAAAATTTTGCTGGGTGGGAGAGACCCCCAGAACCCCCCTCCCAGCGAGAGGGGGACTTCCACCTCTCCCTCTCGCCCCGCGTGTCCGCCTGTAGCATTCGCATGCGTACCTACTGCACGTCTTTAAATCCATCATGCGCATTTTTCCCCCAAACTGGCCATTACCTCCGTTGTCTAATTTTCCCTCAGAGGAAACCCTGTTAGATGCTGTGATAGATTAAATAGGCATAAGCAATTTACAAAGATAAATTCGAGTTTAAAATAAATAGAGTGCTAGATTACATATACAGGGGTATGCATCCTTAGACAGGATACAGAGCGTAGATGTAGTTTGGTTTGTATCGCCTCATGCAATTACCCAGATCAATGTATAGATGTGCGTGAGCGTACACGCCTACACGGCAACACGCACAGCTAAGCTGCCAGGGTATGAAATAAACCTGCCTTGAGCAGACACTGTAGGAGAAATAAATATGCTGACTCATTGCTGTTCTGGGGTGAACCGGCCTCTACAACTGCATTCCCTCATAATAATCCTCAAAATCACACAATCATACACAAATGCTCCGTAGTTTAGATGTATAAGAATACATGTGCGCGTGTGGCATAAGTCTGCATGGTTAGGAGCTAGTAGCTAGTATAGCATGGGGTGGGGCATGCAAGCATACACTACAGCTATCTGCATCAGCAAGGCTAGACTGTCTGCAGGAATATATGAGCATACACACTACATTAGCTGCTCAGTTTATGAAAGCTACCTAGCTGGAATATGGTGTGCAGTGATAAAATAATTAGGCATATAGTAACAAATTAAAAAGCATTACTCGGCATATGTTAATATTGTAGTGATATTAGTTGTCTACATTACCAAGGTGGCGACAGGTTGTCGTAGAGCGTTTTGGGGGGATACGAACATACATACACGGTATCTATCGACATTTACCGAGGCCCCCAGCACCACAAACACATGCAGCGTTCCCTCATCCTCCGTCGACAGCGTCTTCCGAATCAACTCGATTCCCGTCTCGTCTCCACACTCCATGATCTCCATCGAAATTTTCTTCTCGTCGTTCTCGTTCGCTTCTCGCTGCGCGGCTCGTTCCGGTGACACAGCAGGCTTCTGTTGGCGTGCGAGGTTTGGGTCGGTGGCAGGGCTAGGCGCGGTGGCGGGGCTAGGCGCGGTGGCGGGGCTAGGCGCGGTGGCAGGGCTAGGCGCGGTGGCGGGGCTAGGCGCGGTGGCAGGGCTAGGCGCGGTGGCAGGGCTAGGCGCGGTGGCGGTGCTAGGCGCGGTGGCAGGGCTGGGTTGGGAAACGGTGTTGGGTTCAGGGGCGTTTTCGGCTCGCGAGGGTGCACTGGCAGGCTTCACTTGAGCTTCTCTTTCCCCACGCTTATCTTCCTTCCGTGCTTCCTTTCCCACGCAGACTCCCAGCCTGAACGGTCCTTAAAATGTTAAGGGAATTTAACAGTAAGTTCTACTACTACTAGAGGTACTAATACTACCACGAGTAGAATTATAATTATAAACATCTATTGTCAGTATAACTGATAATATACTTCCTACTACAGTTATAGCATTTCAATAGTATTGTGCATGGGAATACATGCCAAACATGGGTTGTATTAGTACATGGGTTGATGATATAGTTTAATTTAGTTATAATCCGTTATAATCACTGCCTTACAACTTGTTAGTACAGAAGTAGCTCTAGTAACTATAGCCTGCGGCAACTTAAGCACAATTAAAGCAGGAATTTTAAGGCACAATTTATTGGTCTAGATTGTTGCCAGCGACGATCGATGTGGATGTGTCCAACTCGTCATACATTATTACGTTGTCATTCACAATCTGCTTACAGTCACGAGTAAATAATTACTTACGTAGTTACGTGTGTGATTTATCTGCTTGGAGCGGCTATAATAATTATGTTGAAGATGCGGCTACTAACACTGTAACAGCACTACTAGTACTACCACAGTACCAGGACAGGAGCACAGTTCTCACTGTAGGCACTGCAGCATGAATTGCACAGTTGCACTGTTTACGTGTCGTTAGATTTCATGCTAGATTCTATGATTCTCCCACTACGTGGCGCGCTGCGTGGTATCGTCATCGTATCGTATCGCATCGTATCGTATGTTGGACCACTCTTGTATTTCACAAGGCATGACCCAAGGCATGACCACAGAAATAGAATAGAAGGGCTTCTATTCTATTCTATTTATTCTATTATTATTTATTCTATTCTATTCTAGAAGGGCTTCTATTCTATTCTATTCTATCTATTCTAGGGCTTCTATTCTATTTCTGTGGGCATGACCAGAGCACTTAAATCAACTGATTTGAGTTGTCAACTGATTTGATTGATGGAGACTGGCATGACCACAGACTCATCATTTTCATTGATTTGTACCTACAGAATTTATTTCTTCTAATCTTATTCTTTTATCCCTATATTTTAGTAATTTCCTCATTAATCCACGCGTGCTGTTAATTGATCAACTTCCGGCATTTAGCTCTTCATTATTTATCTACATTACCTATGATTATCTATATGGTTATCTATATTATTTCTATGGATGTAACATGTTATTATCAAGAATCCATAAATTCTGGACTTTTGTTAATATGTTATAATAACATAATAACAATATAATAACTTTATATAGTAGCATGTTATTATATGCAACTGCTGCTCAGTAGCTAGAATCTTGCCACTGTCACATAGGTGTTATTTACATCTCGTTAGCATCTTGAATGTATGTAGTTGGAAGTATATGTGTCAGTTGTCTGTATGCTAATTTGATGTTTCTTTTAATAATTTTTAATTCTGTTATTACTCGCCATTCCATTGCATTAAATGTTTGAAGTCTGAATTGTGTATTCACAGATCAGGTCTTAGTAGAGTAGAAACTAGACCCAAGTTTGTCATTTGTCATCTGTGTAAACGTAATATTGACCTTTATATTTGGAAGTGTAATTTTTCCTTTCCGTAATGTATTGGGACACAATTGTGTTGTTATACGCTAGTTAGAGATCAATGAAAAGCCATAATATCGATTTTTAAACTTTATTAAAATTTCTGATATACCATATCCCATATATAGAAGAATATAAATAGCTGATCTTGTCTTAAATACTTCTTAACAATGTTTTTTTATCGTTTCTCATGCCATGCTTTAATTTCCAACACCAGTCCACTACTAACAATCTACAATTCATTGCGCACATCTCCACTTAAATGCTGCTTTGTTAGTTGAATTTTGACACAGATGTTTTTAACACCACACAAGGCAAGCAATTTAGCACCATCTTACAAAAGAGTATTGAATGAGAAACCCTCTCAAGGCACTATTACAATACACTTGTGTAACCCTTGGACATTACTCAATGTATACATATAATTTTCAAAGAAGCAAAACACACAGAGGGAGTAACAATACTAGGTAAAACTAAGCATATGATAAAGACAAAATAAAATCCTTGAAATTTTTCCCATACATACCTGCAGCAGTAGAGAGTACACACCAAATGATGTGATAGCAATGAGGAGCTGATATTAAAAATTGCTGCTAAAACAGACTTAGAATAAAATTTTAGAGATTCTATACTGAGAATATTTTCACATTTCTTCACCTTTCTTCAACACAGACATGCACGATTACAAGTTACCTATAAACAGTGTCAACTCATAGAAAATATAATTGTGGGTTAAAAAAAACTTCGGCAAAGTGAGCAAGTCCTAATTTCCTGATCTGACAAGAAGCGGTAAAATAATTTCGTTACTCTAAGAACAGCGATGTAGACGGTACTTTGATAAGTAAAAAACGAATCCACCCTTCAATCGTTATTCTGCTGCACGGACATACAATACACAGTTGCCAAATTTTTTCAGACGACGGCAGCAACGCTTTAACCAAGGATCTGCAGCATGGCGCCAGACACATTCCGTAGGTAAGATGGCGATCCCGGGGTTTACAGCGTCGGTAGGCAAAGTGCGCGCGGGTGGCAACCGGCGCCCTCTAACCTCACGCAGTCTAATCAAATTACGGCGTCGCGAGAAAGTCGTTGCCGTCAGAGGGCGCTCTCTCTCTCGCTCGCTCGCTCGCGTGCGTTTAGACGGACACGTGGTAGGGGCTGCCGGGAATGTGGTCGTCGCCCCACTTGACGACTAGCACGTATTCTCCCTTCTCCTTGACAACGTAGTTGACGGTGTATTGCTGGCGGGTCGTGTGTCGCACAACGATCTCCTCACAGGGAACGCGCGGACCAAACACTCCCACCATCAGCATGTTGTTGCCTGCAAGTCGACGCGAAATATTAGTCAACACGTGATCACACGTGGGCGGGCGTCGCCCCCGTCTAACATACAAACCACTCAATGTGTGACGATCTGCCACCAGGTGGCGCTCATCTAACATACAAATCACTTGATATGCGACGGTCTGCCACTAGGTGGCGCTAATCTAACATACAAACCACTCAATGTGTGACGGTTTGCCACTAGGTGGCGCTCATCTAACATACAAATCACTCGATGTGTAACGGTCTGCCACTAGGTGGCGCTCATCTAACATACAAATCACTCGATATGCGACGATCTGCCACTGGGTGGCGCCCGTCCAGCATGACGACACAGCACTGACGGTGCGCTCGCAGAGCTTCCCACCCGGCGTCGCCCTGCACAGACAAATGAACGTCACTCACCGGCCTGCGTTGCGTTGACAGTGAACGTGTTCTGCTTGTGCAGGAAGGCCTTCTGTAGTCCCATGCCCTGAGACGTCACCTTGCTGGCGTCGGACGGAGCCGTCGGCAGAGCAGACGAAAACTTCTGCGTCGTCGTCGTCTTGGTAACGGTCTCAACAACCATGCTAGACTGCTCCTCGATGTCGCCGCCGGCCCTGCGCACACCTGCAAGCATGCGGACAGTGGCAGTCTATAGTCTGCTATGCTAGCCCTCATTACAGATAAAACATAGTAAACATCTAACGATAGTTAGCTATCCGTTTATGCAAATATCAACCCCTAGCTAATAGCTTAACAAAATTGTGATGCGTTCTGATTCTAATCGGCATTACTATTGTCTACTAAATCACTGTAGACTACTAAGTACCAATAGCTACCTGTCAGGTAGATTTTTAAACGTGAAGTATTAATATATATTATATATTCATACTATTACAATAGTACTACAAGAAGTAATATCACCCATGTTTATAAAGTGAAGTATATATATATATCATCACGTTTACAAAGTAAAGCAGGTATATATATCGTTGTGTTACAAAGTGAAATAGAGATATCATCACGTTTAGAAAATAAAGCAGATATATCAGCACGTTTATAAAGTGTCATATTAACGCCCCTACACTGCACTCACTCCCATGTTCGGGGCCCACATCTGTGCGTTTCCTCCTGCGCCACCTGCGTTGCTATGCATGACTGATTACTCTGTGTTGCCGTGGGTGAGGCCTTCTCCGTAGACCCCGACCCTGCCAGGATACCGGCCTGGCCCTGCCTCCCACCGCACGCGGCGAACGGCCAGAGCGCGATGTGAAGCCGTTCAGGTAACGTGAACGTAGTGAACGCCGTTCTCCAACGCGGAACGAGCGGATCGCTGTACGATTCTGTCGACGATCAAAACATCGTTAGACGGCGCCAGCGCGGAGACATTTCACTCAACCCCAGTCGCGCGTAGAAGCAGGTAAATCGAATGAAGAGTATAAGTGCAGTCTAATTGTCACGATCTGTTGTTTGTCGGAGTTCAAACTTCGACTTTACGTTTTAGTAGTCGTAATGCCACTCATGAACGTAGTCGTAACCATCGGATACTAGTGATTTTACAATTCACATCACAACCTTTGCAACTGGTCGACTGCACGCCTTGAGTCCTCGCACCAGAGGGAGAAGATGACATGGACAAGGTCACGCTGTCTTGGCTCCAGGTAAGTTTTTATACGGTGAGCGCCGGCCGGAGGTTTACTGCAAGCGACAATGCAATTAATAATCACCCTGCAGTGTGACCTCCTGTCACGCTTAACTATGCGGAAGAGTGGTTACTGGATTTGATCGATCCCCTAGAATTATCGCTCGGATTCCAGTAACAGCATAAGGCTCTTCACATATATCTGGTCAGTAGCAAGCCAATGTTTTACCGTGCGAACGAATGAGGTCTGACTCATCTGCGATGTACCCCGCCCCCCCACCGACACTGCGCGCCGCATCACGGACGACTAACGCTCTAGCCTTGAGCGGTGTCTTTGCATAGAGCCGATCCTAGACGCCGGGCCTCACCGACGTGGGAGCGATGTTGCACGCTTGAAGGGACGAATGGGATGTGCACGTCGTTGACTTTATGCTCACGTTTGTATTCTTCGCTGCGGACAGACAAGACAACACGCCATCCACTCAAGCCACAGGACACCCGGCCACAAGGAACCAGGACTACCAGGCAACAGGCCCAGGAACTCAGGAACTACGCGGGAGAAGGCGTGAGGTGACAAACCATTATAAATATATATATATATATATATCTATGTGTGTGTGTATATATATCTACAGCACAAGCCCCAGCCACCAGGACACCACCGCGGGAGCGGTGAGGTGACAAACATTATAATATTATATTAATATGTTGTGTGTGAAAAGTATATATATTACAACGACACTTACCTGGTTCGATGACGAGCGTTAGGAGACTCGCGCACGATCTCGCCTTGCGATCTTCAAAGTCGATCTCGGCTTGCCTGGACGCTCGACGGCGATGGAGAGACCTCAGCTCCGCCCTCCACGCGAGGGGGGGGGGGGGGGGGGGGTGGGGGGGGGGGGGGGGGGGGGGGGGGGGGCGGGGGGGGGTGTAGATGGCTGAACTCACCCTGTAAACACCAGCGCGAGAGAGAGAGAGTCAGAGGCTGTGATCTATATAAACATCACCCCCACCCCGGTCGATCGACGCAGAATTCGCAGGGCGAATACTCGAGATCTATACGTCATTGTGCCGAGATAATATGTAATATCTAGATGATTGTGAATTAAAATGTGATTTAAAATGCTCTGTGTTCACTTTCTAACTATTCAATCCAACATGCGGCGTGAACAATTTATTACAACGAAAGAGATAGAAATATCATTGGTGTATAATGACTTCTCATAGGACTGGATTCCACCATCGATGCATGTGACCGTGAAACTGAATAGGGACGTGACATGAGTAGACCACTTTAACATGGTTCCTTCACCTTCTCCCCTCTCTCCAGACCGGGCTCCAGCTCTACCTTGTGTGCACACCGATCCTGCAGGCCCTAAGTGAAACTGGAACGGAACTGCCTGCAAGTACAGATAGAAAACTGTGTTTAGCAGCGTGTAAAAGTTGCAGGCTTTCACTACTTGGCTTGTTTAACAACGCTCAGACTATATGAGTCTAATAGCTTGTAGGTCACATGAGTCTTACTCTACCTGGCTAATTATGTGATTCTACCTGGTAGGTAACAACATTGGTTAATCAGGGTTCATAGTAGTAAGACACGATGTTGACGAATAAGGACTTATAAGACTCCTTTCTGGTAGGCCCAAAAAAGCACTTTTTATTTACGCGATGTCTGATAGATCCCAGACTATTAAAGTACACTATAATATTTATATACAAATTGCACACAGGATTTAAATTCATTCGCGTATTATATATACAAGAAAATGGTCTCTTTGGCCAAAAAAAAGACTATTAAGATCTTTTCTAAGAATTTCACAGCAAAAATACAGGTATAATACAGGGCCCTTCATTGTTTTTTTGGCCAAAATAGTACTTATAAGACTTGGAAGACCCTGCCTACCGAAGCCCTGTTTTACTTATGTTGACTGTAAGCTTTGGAAGGCTATACGAGGGCGAGTACCTGCAGGTAACGAGGGCGTGCCTGGCAAGGTAAGAGGGCTGCCGCCCCTGCAGACTGGCAGGTCGTGATCTAGGCAGGTACAGCCGAAGAGGCGTTGCCTGGCAGGTAATGAGGGCCGTACCCTGGAGGTAAGCGAGAGCTTGCCTGCTAGATAACGAGAGCTTAACCTGGCTATGTGCATGGCCTCTTGTGTTTCCCAAACGCTGACCGTGTGACTGCCCATCTCCTTCGGGCACGAACTCTGACTGCGCGTCTATTTTGTTGTCAGCGACCTGCTGCACTGTGCAGCTCTCGTGCGCGCGCGTCGGACTCGTCGTGTGCCATCATCTTCGTTAGGAGTTCGTATTTCCAACAGGCAGCCAGCAGCAGCGAGGCAGAGAGATCAGCGGATGACAACACCGACGACCCTGATGTGACGCATGCGTGTTCAGCTGCAGCCACCTGCCATGCGACCACGGACGACCATCTGCGCCGATCACTAATAATTGCGATGCGTGTGCCTCGACTCATCGCTTGGACCGCCCCTCCCCCGTCCCGCCTCCCCTCCCCTCTCCGCCTCCTTCGCTGCAATGCTCTGATCAAACGCCTAACCTCTTGCTGATATTAAGGGAGCAAGTCAGATAATGGGGGGAAGGGGGGTGTCAGGAGACAATCATGCATGTGCTGAAGGTAGGGGGGAGTCCTATCACCAATGTCAATGCTGTCGAAGTTTTTACTCATTGTCATTGATTTATTGTTTTACTAAATAATAAATACATCACAGAACTCGCTGAACGTAAGATGCCGAAGCCTTTTGTAACGCTACTGAATCCATTACAATTGATGTGATCTCGATACTAGATGATGCTACAACGTCACTCAGATACAACGCTACTGCTCATTCTCCCTCCTCGGCACGCAGTAGCAAGGCAGCAGCACAGCAGAGGCTGGGTATGTGTGCGGAAAGGAGAGTGGTGCTGAGGGCCACACTTTAGAGCTGACCTGCGCGCAGCGACGCTCTCTCACCGGGTATCTTGAGGTTGAGTTCGCACTCGCTGCCGATGTTAGTGCGGAGGCTGTCTCAGTGCGACGGCTTATCCGCTCCATCTGTTGTGTTTGCGTCCTTCAGCCATCACCTTCACCGTGAACGGACTAACCTGCAAACATAGAGGCGCAGCGGTCCAGCTCACGACA